GATTTTGTCCCCTCCTGCAGCCCTGGAGAGGGGATCTGCCCCCCAGCCATATCATGAAGGAGACAGGGGTAACCCTGTTTTATTCCTTCATGCCCCTCATCCCTTTGTCTGCATGTGGGCTGCAGCATTCTGGGGCTAAACACCTGTAATCCCAGAAAATCCAGGGTCCCAGTTATCCCAGAAAATCCAGGATCCCAGGCGTTCCAGAAGATCCAGTGTCCCATTAATCCCAGAAGATCCAGTGTCCCAGGTGTCCCAGAAAATCCAGTGTCCCAGGTGTCTCAGTAATCCCATCAGAACCCAGTGTCCCAGGTGTCCCAGCAGAACTTGGTGTCCCAGGTGTCCCAGCAGAATCCGAGCTCCCATGGGCTGTGGAGGCCCTGTGGAGCTGGGGCGGGAAGCTGGGCAGGCCATGGGGGGTTGGCAGCAGAGATGGGATGTGGGAAGGGGCCAGGAGGAAAGCTGGATAAGAGGGAAATCTCGATTTTCCCCTCAGATGTGTCCCTGAATTTTCACTCCCCCATGGCACCCAAGGGTGCTGGTGACCCTCAGGTGAGCCCTCCCAGGGTGTGGGAGCCCAATCCTGAGCCAGGACCACTCCAAGGGGTGCAGGTGTCCCCAGAAGCCCGGGAAAACCTTTTCTGGGGGTGCAGCCCAGCTTTATGGTCAATAATGAGCCCAGGTTTCCTTTGGGAAGGGCTGGGCTGGCCCCTCCCTGGGGATGCAGGATCCCACTGGGCAGCAGAGCCGAGCTGTCCCTGCACCTCTGGCCATCAATGATGCACGAGGCCTTGATTAATACCCCTCAGGAAACCATCCATAATTGATGGGAGCCTGGAGCTCTGCAGAGGCACCGCTCCAGCCTTGGCCCTCTGCTCCTCTGGCAGCGCTGCCCGGGAGGTGGGAGGGATGGGGCACACCCCAGAGCCATCCCAGAGCCATTCCACAGCCACCTCACACACCCCACACACCCCAGAGCCACCCCAGAGTCTCCCCACAGCCAACCCACAGCTTCCATAGCCACCCCACAGCCACCCCACACCCCCCACAGCTACCCCACACACCCCACAGCCTCCCCAGAGCCACCCCACAGCCTCTGGGGCAGGTGCTCCAGGCTGAGGTGGCACTGGGCACACATGCAGGAGGGACAGGGGTGGCACCCCATGTCCCAGGGGATGGGGACACCCTCCTGCCCCCGTGTCAGCACCACCCTGGGCCTGGCACTGCCATCCCCTGCGCCCACACCCCGTGCTCACCCCAGAGAAGGAACTCAGCAGTGCCAGATGCCTTTGGCACGGGCACCAGGCTGAGGGGCTCAGGAGCTGGATCAGGATCAAGCCAGGCTTAAACCAGAGTGCTCAGGGACCAGCTGGGGATGGAGCCAAAAGGGGATGCTCAGGACTGAGGCAGGACCAGGGCAGGGATTAACCAGGGCAGCCTTGGAGCCAAGAGGACCAAGGCAGGGGTTAACCAGGGCAGCCTTGGAGCCAAGCAGGAGCAAGCTGGGAACCAGCCCAGGGTACTTGGGGACTGGACCAGGACCAAGGCAGGGATTAAGCCAGGATGGTCAGGGACACAATCAGGACCAAGGCAGGGACAAAAGCAGGGTGCTCAGGGGCACAATCAGGACCAAGGCAGGGATTAATCCAGGATGATCAGGAACCAGCTCAGGACCCAGCCAGGGACCAAGCCAGGGAGCTCAGGGACACAATCAGGGCCAAGGCAGAATACTCGGGGACTCAATGGGGATCAAGCCAGGGATGAAGACAGGATGATCAGGGACTGTCCTGGGACCCAGCCGTGTCCTGGCACCTGTGCCCAGCCCGGGTTGAGGCAGGAGCAACTCAGGTGCCCAGGCTGGCCCCACACCTGCGCCTGCAATCCCGGAAGGATGCTCGGGAGGATCCCGGCCGGGGGCTGCCAGGGGCAGGGGGCACAGGGGGTCTGGGGACTGCCAGGGGCTGTGGGCACAGGGGGTCCGGGCCGGGGGCTGCCATGGCAGCCGGGCCCGCCGTGTTCGTGGGGAGACAGGCAGAGGGAGCTGTGCGGGAGGAACCGGCAGCGAGCAGCCCCGGCTCCGGCTGCAGGGGAGGAGGCGCTGCCGGCGCTCGCCCTCCGCCTCCCTCCATCCCTGCATCTTCCCCTGCTCGCCGTGCTGAGCCCCCAGCGCCCCGGGGAGCCGCCATCCCCAGGGTGCCCAGAACCCTCCCAGCACCCCGCCGGGGCCTTCAGCCTCGGCTTCCTGCCTTCCTCCTCCTCCTCCTCCTCCGCCTCCTCCTCCTCCCCCCACCCCGCAGCCACCACCCTCCCTCCCTCTCTCTCTCTCTCCCTCCCTCCCTCCTTCCCCGGGGCCTGCCTGGCATGGAGCTGCTGGCCGCGGGGAGCATCCCCGGTGCCCCGCACCCCCGTGCCCGCATCCCCCGTGCCCCGCATCCCCCGGCGCAGCCCTGAGCCGCCTCCTTTGTGCGGCGGAGCGGCTGTGCGGGCTCCGGCCCCCACCCCGCACCCCCGGCTCGGGGGCGGCCCGCGGGCGAGCGGGAGGGATGCTGCCCTGGCCGGAGGAGCCCAGCGCCGGAGCTCGGCGGCCAGAAGCAGGTACGGGGCCATAAGGGATGGGATGGAGCGGCGATGGTGCCCAGGGAGGCGGCGGCTCGTCCCCAGGATGCTCCTCACCCAGGGCCCCCGGGAGCAGCGGGACGCGGCGGGGACAAAGCCGCTGCCAGGCTGTGAGGACGGACCCGCCGCTCCCTGCTCCGGGGGCTGGGGGGGCAAAGAAACCATCCGGATTTTCATGCCCACCTCCCCCGGGCACTCTGTGTGCCGTCCTCGCCCACCACGGTGCTCCCACCCCGCTGGAGCGCGGGGAAGGACGGGGACCGGCGGGGCGGGCAGCATCCTCCATCCAGCCCGGCATCTCCATCCACCCCAGCATCACCCTCCAGCTCGGCATCATCCTCCATCCATCCCGGCATCGCTCTCCATCCACCCCGGCATCACCCGCCCTCCATCCATCCCGGGCATCGCCCCCACCCGCAGCATCCCCACACCTCTCCTGTCCATCCCTCCCTCTCCAGCCGGTCTGGGAGCTGCCTGCGGTGATTTTTCGGGGCTGGGTGGGCAGAGGAGCGTTGAACAATGCCCAGGAAGGCAGGCAGGCTCCATGATGGAGGGCAGGTAGCGGGGATGCTGCATTCCCGGCGGCGTTTCCCGGCTCCGGATGCCCGTGGGGTTTCTTAGCGTGGTAACGACTGCACGAACGTCCCCTCAAATCCCGGCTGTTGCCGTGGAGATGGAGCCAGGCGAGGTTTGCGGCCGGGGTAGGACCTGCCCAGCACCCGGAGCGCTCCCGATCCACCTGGGCCGATCCTGCCGTGGATTTGGGCCGGGAAATCTGGGCTGGGGCTGCTCGGGTGGCCCGGGAGAGGCGGGCAGGGACCCAGGCCCGAGGCAGCACGGCCCGATTCCCCGTCCCTGCGCTGGAAAAGCGCTTTCTCATCCCCCGGCAGCGGCTGGAGTGTCCGGCCGTGCTTTGTGCTGGCCGCGGTTCGGGCTCCGGCCGGGCCGGGCCGGTGCTGCCCGGCTGGGGCTGGTGTGGGAGGGTGTGTTTGGTCACGGCCCCAAAGCGCAGCCAAGCGGGTCACACACCCTCCCGTCTCAGCCCGGGTTTATTTCTGGCGTGGATTTCTCGCCTTTGCTGATTTTTCCCTTAAAAAATGGTTTCCCAGCCTCGTGGCCTGGTTGTCCCTCCGAGGGGATGCTGAGCCACCAGGGATGCTGCCCTGGGACCAGCAGGGATGGATGGAGGCTCCGTGCCAGCTCAGGGCTCACCAGCTGGTGGCTGTGGGATGCAGGGGGGCTCTGAGGGCTTTTAGGGTGGTGGGATAAATCCCCCTGTATGGGATATTGCAGAGGGATGAGCAGGGGATACTCCCACCCACAGGTGCCCTGGGTGTTGTTGGGGTGAAAGCATCACAGTTTTCATGTTTGAATGATAAATGAATGAAAATTGTTGTGCCCTGAGGTGTGTTTGTGCCTCCCAGCCTGGAGGGGACCTCAGCACCCTCCTGGGGTGGATTTTCACTGGTTTATCCCATTTCTCAGGGGTGGGGTTCCCCCCACTGATGTCGTGAAGGATTTTGTGATTGGGGGGTGAACCAGGTCCCACAGGGACCCCCACCCACCAGGCAGGAGAGGCCACCATGTCCCCTGGGCAGCCCAGGGATGGATGAGAGCTCTTGGGATGGATCCCATTCCAGCCTTCATGGGCTGATCCAGCAGGAGAGGGTGGATTTGCCTTCTCTTGGAGAAGAGGGATCCCAGGAGCTGCTCCTGGTGTTGGACACAGGGATGGTCCTGGCCCTTGGGGACCCCTAATGCTGCAGGAGCTCGTTGGGTGGTGGTTGGGCAAGAGAGCAAAAGGGTCACCCCTGCCACCTCCTGTGACAAGCTGGGGGTGGATGGAGCGAGATTCCCATGGTCTGTGCCCCTTCCTGGTGGCTGTGTTCCCCTAGATGGTTGTAAACCTTCCCAAGGGCTGGGAGGCCTTCCCAAGGGCTGTGGAGCTTCTCAAAAGCTGTGGAGTTTCCCAAAAGCTGTGGAGTTTCCCAAAAGGTGTGGGTCTTCACAAGGGTTGTGGAGCTTGCCAATGGCTCTGAATCTTCCCAGGGTTCTGCACATTCCCAAGGGCTCTGCACATTCCCAATGGTTCTGCACCCTCTTCAGCACCATGTGCCCTCCCAAGGGATGCACATGGGTGGGAGGAACACAGGAGGTTGGGATGGAGGCACAGGGGGCACCCAGAAGAAGGGCCAAGGTGGGATTTTTGGCACTTTCTTTAGCACCTTGTGCCCACCCAGGGGATGCACGTGGGTGGGTGGAACACGGGAGGCTGGGATGGAGCCACAGAGGGCACCCAAAGGAAGGACCAAGGAGGGAATTTCGGGGAACCTCACCCCGGTATCACTGACCCCCATCTCTTCCAGCGCCCGGCACCACTCGATGCTGACTCTCCCCCCGGCGTGCCGCACCCCCCTGTCCCCACGCCATGTCCCAGCGGAGCCGCTGTCCCTGTCCCTCTGGCAGCCCCGCGTGTCCCTGCAGCCCCAGGCCATGAGCGGGCCCCGGCGGCGGGGAGCAGAGCTGCGGGATGGCCTCGCTGGACCTGCCCTACCGCTGCCCGCGCTGCGGCGAGCACAAGCGCTTCCGCAGCCTGTCCTCGCTGCGCGCCCACCTGGAGTACAACCACACCTACGAGACCCTCTACGTGCTCTCCAAGACCAACAGCATCTGCGACGCCGCCGTCTTCCCGCTGGCCGCCGACGCGGCCCTGCTGGCCCCGGCCGCCCGCAGGGACTACTTTGAGAGCACCTCGTTCCAGGGCAAGGACCAGCGCTTCTCCTGCGACCTGGTCCCCGCCGACGAGCTGGAGCCAGCGCCGCCGTCGTCGCCATCGCCGCGCTATGTGCACGAGATCGAGATCCCGCTGAGCGAGATCTTCAGCCGCGGCAAGGCCGTGGCGCCCGCGCCCGGCCCGCCCGCCGCCGCCGACGCGGCCTACGAGGAGGGCCTGGCCCGCCTCAAGATCCGCGCCTTCGAGAAGCTGGAGGTGGACAAGAGGCTGGAGAAGCTGACGGAGGAGGTGGAGCAGAAGATTGCCTCGCAGGTGGGCCGGCTGCAGGTGGAGCTGGACCGCAAGAGCTCAGAGCTGGAGAAGGCCAAGCAGGAGAGCCTGCGACTGAGCCGGGAGAAGCAGGAGCTGGAGGACCGCGCCTCGGAGCTGTCCCGCCAGGTGGACGTCAGCGTGGAGATGCTGGCCTCCCTCAAGCAGGACCTGGTGCAGAAGGAGCAGGAGCTCACCCGGAAGCAGCAGTGAGTGCTTTGTCCCTGTCCCAGGTGTCGGGTGGGAAGAAAGGGATGCCTGGCAGTGAGTCCCACAGAACCTGAGGCTGCCCCATCCCTGGAGGGGTTCAAGGCCAGGTTGGACAGGGTTTGGAGCAGTGGGGAATGGTGGAAGGTGACCCTGCCCATGGTGGGGTTGGAATGAGATGAGCTTTGGGGTCTCTTCAATCCAAACAATTCCCTAAGTTCAGAGGAGCCCAATACCACCACCCCAGGGCCAGGGCTCAGGGACAGCCCTTTGGTGATGCCCATCAGCATCCTCCCTTATCAGGTTCTGCATCTTCTTCCACCACTCAGTGTCCACACAGACCTGGGCCCCTCCATGGCTGAGTCATGGCGAGCCATGCCCTGTCCCAGTGCCACCAGCATTCCCAGGACATGGCCAGGCTGGGAATCAGTGAGCTACACATTGGTTTGGGTTGAAGGAACCTTGAATTCCACCTCATCCCCACCCCCTGCCATGGCCGTGCCAAATTCCAGGTTTTTCTCCCAGAGGGAGCGTGGGGCAGCCCAAGCAGTGCCATGTCCATTTACTGTTCAGCCTGTGGCACTGCCATCCTCATTTCCACCCTGTATTCCCCTCCCAACACCCCCTGCCCACCCCAAGGCCGCTGCTGAGCGTCCCTCCAGTGCAGTGTTGGGTCATTCTCCCCCTTGGTGCTGTCCAAACCAACCAGACCTCGCAAATCAGGAGCTGGAGCAAATCAGGAGGGGCCCAAATCAGTGAGGAGTTTGGGGGGGACAGGCACGGCTGTGTTGGGCTGGGAGCACTGCTGGGATTCCTGAAGGAATTGCTTTGATTCCTGTCATCCTCTGCACACTTGTGAATGACTTTGACTCCAAAATAATGACCTGGCTCAGGAACAGGTCTCCCAGGGTGGGGGGATGGCCTGGGCGAGGAATGGGGTGGCCTGGGGCTGGATAAGGACACCTCCAGGTTTGGGGGCATGGTTTGTGGGACAGGCACTGAGGGGTTTGGGGGCATGGCTGTGGGACAGGCACTGAGGGGTTTGGGGGTATGGCTGTGGGACAGGCACTGAGGGGTTTGGGGGCATGGCTGTGGGACAGGCACTGAGGGGTTTGGGGGCATGGCTGTGGGACAGGCACTGAGGGGTTTGGGGGTATGGCTGTGGGACAGGCACTGAGGGGTTTGGGGGCATGGCTGTGGGACAGGCACTGAGGGGTTTGGGGGTATGGCTGTGGGACAGGCACTGAGGGGTTTGGGGGCATGGCTGTGGGACAGGCACTGAGGGGTTTGGGGGCTGCCTCGTGGGTGCTGTCCGGGGACACCTTGGGGATGTGTGGTGAGGGAATTAAGGACACCAGCACGGATGAGTCTGGGGCAGGGCCTGGAGACAGCTAGACAGGGTAAATAGAGGGTCAAATGTCTCTTCATGGAACCTGGAAAATGTTACCCCCTATAACCCTGGGTTTATGCCCCAAAACTACCTCCTGGACCTCTCATTCCTCAGAGAAACCCTCCTGCCCCTCACCTGTCCCCAAACTCCTCCACCCCAAGGGACAAAATCCCCTGTGAGGTTGCAGGAAGAGCATGGGAAGCACTGGTGGTGAGAGGAGGTTTTCTCCTGGATGTGAGGAAGTCATCAGAAATCATTTTAATCAGCAAAGCCTTCCCTGGAAACACTGTGGGGACATTCCCCAGCTCCCAGACACCATGAAGCTGATGTCCTCCTGGGAGACCTTTGGCTCTGGGCTCCGTTTCCTCTGCCAGGAGTGTTTTTCCACCCAGTCCATGGGAATGAGAGAGACACAGGTGATAGCAATCAGCATCACCTTACAGCTGCTGCCCAGCTCCACATTTGCCTTCCAAATCCCCTGGGGCCCCTTCCAGGATCCTTCCCAGAGCACCCCCAGAGCTCCCAGGCTCTGCCTGCAAGTGGCAGGTTGAGGAGAAATTATTCGATAATTAATTGGTGATTAATTGGTAATTGATAGCCAGCAGTGGGAATTGTGTCACTAAAGAGCTGCCCCCTCCTTTCCCTTCGTGCTTCTGGGCAGATCATTGTGTCCAGGTGTCCGAGGTCAGCTATGTGTGATCAGGTTTGGTGTCCAGGTGTGCACAGGCAGGGCTCTGGGGTCACCTCTGTGTGATCAGGTGTCCGAGGCCAGCTGTGTGCTTGGGTTTCTGTGCCCAGGTGTGAGCTAGGTGTGCCTGGTCAGGTGTGTGTGCTTGGGTTTCTGTGCTCAGGTGTGAGCTAGGTGTGCCTGGTCAGGTATCTGAGGTCAGGTGTGTGCTTGGGTTTCTGTGCTCAGGTTGGTGTGTCTAAGTGTGCCTGTCCAAGGCCAGATGTGCCCCAGACAGGCGTACAAAGCTGGGTTTGTGCCTCTTCAGGGCTTCCTGGATGCTATGGGTGTGTGTGTGCCTCACCAGCAGTGCAGGTGTGAGCAGCTGTGCCTGGGATGTGTTCACGAGGGTGCTCGTGGGATGGTTGGGTGGGAAGAGACCTCAGACCCCACCCAGTGCCACCCCTGCCATGGCAGGGACACCTCCCACTGTCCCAGGTGCTCCAGCCCCAGTGTCCAGCCTGGCCTGGGCACTGCCAGGGATCCAGGGGCAGCCACAGCTGCTCTGGTCACCTGGGCTTTGCACCCTCCCCATGCTGCCTGGCTCTGTGTGTGTGTGTGTGTGTCTGTGTGTGCCATGCTGAGTGCTGGATTTGTGCTCTCCTGGGGCTGTGTGGGGCACTCAGGTGTGCAGGACAGGGCTCTGTGTGTGTGTGTGCCTGCCCATGTGTCCCTGGCTATGTCTGTGTGCCTGTCCCTGTGAGTGTGTGTGTGTACCTGGTGCACACCTGGGTGTTCCTGGAGCACATCCATGTGCAGGACTGTGGTGGCCACGTGTGTTTGGGCCGTGTGGACTCACTGGTGTGTCTGTGCCCATGCCCTCGTGTGCCCCACTGGTTTTTGGGGAGCAGATGAGGACACAGGGTGTTTGTGCCTCACTGGTGTGTCTGTGCCCATGCCCCCATGTGCTTCCCTGGTTTTTGGGGAGCAGATGAGGACACGGTGTCTGTGCCTCACTGGTGTGTCTGTGCCCATGCCCTCGTGTTCTTCCCTGGTTTTTGGGGAGCAGATGAGGACGGTGGGTGTTTGTGCAGGGTGGGGTCAGCTGGGGTCACAGCTGCTGTCACACATTTTGGGGCAAACAGCCCTGCTGCAGGCTCAGAGCTCCTGAGCACCTGCTAATTAATGTGTTAATGAGGGAGCTGGGGCCTTGCAACCACCGGGCTGAGCAGGGTTTAAGGGTGTCACTGCCATCCTCCTCCCTCACCCTGTCACACCATCATCATCCTCTTCCCTCTGCTCCATCGTGCTCAGGAGCCTGATTCCAGTCCTGGGAGCGATGGATAGGATGGGGATGTCACCTCGCCCCTAAAACAACAACATCCCCCTGCATGATGGGAGCATCCCTTCATCCCTGTCCTGCCCCAGCCCATCCCAGGGCTGGCACAGACCCGGACCAGGCTGGGGATGGAACAGCCCAGGTGTGCTCGGGTGTGTCCCAGCTGGGCACAGGGCTGGAGGGGTTGAGTGGGGTGGGGATGGAACAGCCCAGGTGTGCCCAGGTGTGCTCAGATGTGCTCAGGAGTGTCCCAGCTGCACGCAGGGCTGGAGGCACTGGTGCAGGCTGGGGATGGAACAGCCCAGGTGTGCTCGGGTGTGTCCCAGCTGGGCACAGGGCTGGAGGAGCTGAGTGGGGTGGGGATGGAACAGCTCAGGTGTGCTCAGGTGTGTCCCAGCTGCACACAGGGCTGGAGGCGCTGAGCAGGGTGGGGATGGAGCTGCGGGGACCCGTGGGCAGCCCCGGTGTCACCGATGGTCCCCGTGCCAGGGAGGTGCTGCAGATCGATCAGTTCCTGAAGGAGACGGCGGCGCGGGAGGCCAACGCCAAGGTGCGGCTGCAGCACTTCATCGAGGAGCTGCTGGACCGCGCCGACCGCGCCGAGAAGCAGCTGCAGATCATCAGCAGCAGCTGCGGCACCACCCCCAATGGCAGCCTGGGCCGCTGCGGCACCCCGGCCAGCAAGGCCATCGCCCGAGCGGGACCTCTGCGGGCACAGGCACGGCACGGACTCGGGAGGGCCACCGGGGGATCCGGGAATGTGTCCGAGGGATTCGGGAATGTGTCCGAGGGATTCGGGAATGAGCCCGGGGTATTCGGGAATGTGTCCGAGGGATTCGGGAATGAGCCCAGGGGATTTGGGGATGCGCCCGGGGGATCCGGGAGCGTGTTCGGGGGATTCGGGAATGTGCCCGAGGGATTCGGGAATGAGCCCGATGGATTCGGGAATGCGCCCGAGGGATTCGGGAATGAGCCTAGGGGATTCGGGAAGGAGCCCGGGGGCTTCGTGAGCGCGCCCAGGGCATCGGGAAAGCGCCCGGGGCATCGGGAATGCGCCCGGGATTCGGGGATGTGCCCAGGGGATTCGGGAATGCGCCCGGGTGGATTCGGGAATGCGCCCGGTGCTTTGGGAATGAGCCCGGGGGATTTGGGAATTCACCGTCCGCATTGGAAATTCACCCTCTGCTTCGGGAATGCGCCCGGGGACTTGGGGAATTCACGTGAGGGCTTCGGAAATGCACCCGGGACCTTCGGGAATTCACCCTCTGCTTCGGGAATGTGCCCTGGGCTTCCATAAGCAACCTTGGCCTCAGGAGTGCACCCCTGGGTCTCCTGCGCCAGGGCCCGAGCGGGGCAGTATAGGAACCCCATCTCCTTCCCGTGAGGAATGGATAATCCTGGGGGCCACAAAGAGAAGCTATTTCTCCGTGGGTTGATGTTCCCGTGGCGCTGGGCGGTGCTGGAGGTGCCGCTGGGTGAGCGGGGTGCCCTCCCTCGCTGGGATGTGCCACGTTGTCCCCTCTTGTCCCCTGTCCCCGCAGAGAGAGCGGCACCCGGGCTCGGCGGTGGCCGTGCACGGTCCCTACGGCGGCGTGGCCAACCAGCGCTCCTCCTCCAGCACCGGGTGAGTACCCGGCCCTGCCCACCGGGATTTTAACGGGATTTTAACAGGATATTAACAGGATTTTAGCGGAATTTTAACAGGATGGTGGGAAGGGGGTGCACGCCCGGCGAGCACTGTACTGGGACATCCTCTACTGGAATAATTGCCAATATAGCCGGATGGGATGTGCCTGAGCTTGTCTGGCCATTGCTGCTTGACCAAACAGTAGCACTGTGGTGTTTCACCCCACAGACTCTTTTGGCCAGCTGGGTGTTAGAGACAAGTCCAGGCTTGCAGGAGCTCAGGTTTGCCTTTGGTGGAGAAGCTTTAAGGTGATGGTGAAGGAAAGGAGTCGGTTCTGATGAAGGGTTTGGATCCAGAGCTTTATTCTGGCCCACAGGCCTCTGAATCCAGCAACAGCTCCAACAGAACTCCCTGAGCCCGTGGTTGCTGTCCTTTTAACCCCGGGGAGAGGGGAGGGAAGGGATAGGGAGCCACCAGCCAGGTACAGGAGGGGAGGGACAAAGGACACCTGGATGGCCCAATGCCCCCCAGGGGTAGGGGATATCTTTTGAATTCTGCCAATCACTCTGGGATGCCAGGATTAACAGACAGTGCTGGGCAGGGGTCAGGGAAAGGCGAGGTGACTGACACACCTGGGGAAGGAATGTTCAGGGGGAAACCCGGGGTGTCTGAGGCAAACCCCGATATCACAGCACAACAAACCCGGGGTATCTGGGGCAAACCCCGACATCACACCACAACAATCCCATCCCCAGGGCCTCGAGCCGGGCCAAGGCGGTGTCGCAGAGCTCGGGCTGCTACGACAGTGACAGTGCAGAGCCGTGTCCCACAGACGACACGGCCGAGGGCCCCCCATACCCGGCCCGGGAGGCGCGGGGCTCGGGACTGCGGCGCCAGGCCATCCAGAACTGGCACCGCCGGCCCTACCGCAACAGCACCGAGGGCGAGGAGGGCGACGTGTCCGACGTGGGCTCCCGCACCACCGAGTCCGAGGCTGAGGCCTGGGAGCCCGAGGGACCGGGATCCGCCGCGGCCCGACCGCCCGGAGGCTGCCGCCTGACCGGTGAGAGAGCAGCGGGCCCTGGGGGCCGGGAGGTGAAGGGGGTGAGAGCACTGAGGGTCTTTGGGGCTGGGAGGTGAAGGGAGTGAGAGCACTGAGGGTTCTTGGGGCCGGGAGGTGAAGGCCGGGGTAGCTGGAAGCCGTGGGACGGGGATGGAGCTTCCCTCACCCGGGGATGGAGCTTCCCTCACCCGGGATGGAGTTTCCCTCACTTGGGGATGGAGCTTCCCTCACCTGCTGCTCTCCCCAGTGGCCACGGATGCCGTATGTCCTGCGGGCAGGCCCGAGGGCGCCGGGGGCAAGGTGTGCCGGCTGGAGCGGGACAGCCCGGGCCACTGCAGCGAGGTGATCAGCCCCGAGATCCTCAAGATGAGGGCGGCTCTCTTCTGCATCTTCACCTACCTGGACACCAAGACGCTGCTGCGCGCGGCAGAGGTGTGCAAGGACTGGAAGTTCGTGGCCCGGCACCCGGCTGTGTGGACACGGGTGCTGCTGGAGAATGCCAGGGTCTCCTCCAAGGTACTGGGGAGGGGGTGACACCCCCTGGGGCGCGGCCTTGCTTCTAGAAGGGTAGAGCTGGGTGAGCATCTCCCTGGTGGCCGGGATGGTTGTGCCATTGTGGTCATGGGGGACACAGGTGGGTGCTTGCTCTAGTGGTGGAGGTGTTGCAGGTGAATGCTGGAGGACAGGAGCTCACCCCAGCACAGGTTTGCGTGTGCTTTTGTGGTCACACCCATGGTTTTGTGGTCACACCCATGGTTTTGTGGTCACGCCCATGAATTCATGGCACATGTTCTGCCACGGCCTCGTGTGTGCACCTCCACCTGTTTCTGCCACGTGTGTGCACAGCCACGCTGGGTGGTGTGGGATGTGCTGGGGTGTCCCTGGCAGTGACTGCCACCGTTGTGCCCCAGTTCCTGGCCATGCTGTCCCAGTGGTGCACCCAGATGCATTCCCTCACCCTCCAAAACCTGAAGCCACGACAGCGGGGCAAGAAGGAGAGCAAGGAGGATTACATGAAGAGCACACGGTGAGTCCCCGTGTCCCCTTGTCCCTGTGTCCCCCTGTCCCTGTGTCCCCTGTCCCCTTGTCCCCTGTCCCCGTGTCCCCCTCCCACAGCCGGAGCTGCTGCTCCTCAGGGCTGCTGCTGCTGCAGCTCCCTGAACCCCAACATTTCCACAACAAATCCGCTGTGGGATTGGGGTGTCCTGGAGCCGGGGGTGCCCGTGGGCCATGTCCCCCTCCTGGGCCGGTCACAGGAGGGTGGGCAGGGCTCCTGATGCTGGCTCTGTGCTGGCAGGGGCTGCCTGGAAGCGGGGCTGGAGTCGCTGCTCAAGGCCACGGGCAGCAACCTGCTGATCCTGCGCATCTCGCATTGCCCCAACGTGCTGACCGACCGCTCGCTCTGGCTGGCCAGCTGCTACTGCCGCGCCCTGCAGGCCGTCACCTACCGGTGAGCATGGCCCCAGGGCCACCACAGCGAGGGACAGGGCTGGGGACACCAGGGGACAGGGCTGGGACAGGGCTGGGGACACCAGAGGGACAGGGCTAGGGGCACCCACGGGGACAGGGCTGGGAATACTACGGGGACAGCACTGCTACTGCTGCACCCTGCAGGCTGTCACCTACCGGTGGGCATGGCCTCAGTGCCACCACAGCAAGGGACAGGGCTGGGGATACCGTGGAACAGGCTGGGGGCACCCATGGGGACAGGGCTGGGGACACCATGGGGACAGGTCTGGAGACACCCCAGGACAGCGCTGGGGATACCATGGGGACAGGGCTAGGGACACCATGGGGACAGGGCTGGGAGCACCCACGGGGTATGCTGGGATCACCCTGTTCCCTGGCAGAGCACAGGGACAGGGCTGGGGACACCCCAGGGTGGGATCACCCCCATTCCCTGACAGAGCATGGCCCACCTGCCCACCTGCAAAAGACCTGCCTGTCCATGGCAGCCCCAGTGTCCAGCTGTCCCTGCAGCTCCCATCCCTTCCAGGCTGTTCCCATGCAGGTGTTTCGCTTCCAGCTCCATTCCCATCACTCCATTACTGAGCTCATCCTGGCTGGATGGGCCGAGGGCTTGGCAAGGAGGCAGCACGTTGTGGCAGAGAAGGGTGAGGAGGAGGTGCCCAGTGAGGTCCCACCTGGTTGTCACCCCTGATGAAGGATCCCAGTGGAGGGAAGAGCTCAGGGTCCCTCTCTCCTGGGAGGGAGGAACAGCTCTGCCAAGGGAGAGCTGAGATTCAGCTTGGACACCTTGCCTGAGGTCAAGGACACAAGACATGGTGAACCTGGAGGAGGTCACAGGTCCTGGAGGGCATCACTGGCCACTCTTTGGTTTTGGCCACCTGTGGAGACAGGGTTGGCCTTCCCTCCACCCTCCAGAGGCTGATCCTGGCTCTGCTGCACCTGCAGACAACCACCTCAGCCTCATGCAGGCAGGACAGAGAATCCTCCAGGTGGGAAAGCACATCCAGCCACTCCCCTGGCGTGACCCCCAAGAGCCCAGAGCCGGCTCTGACCCACACCACAAGACAGGAGAGAGCCCAGAGCTGCCAGGTTGGGCTCCAGTGCTGCTCCTTTGGCTGTTCCCAGGGCAGCAGAGCGAGCCTGAGCTCTCCTGGCACATCCTGAGCTGTGCCTGTGACTCACGCTCTGATTAACCTGCTGCTCTTGGCACCTGCTCCAGAACAGAGGTGTGAGGCACCCAAGATAACACCTAGCCTTATTTTTAGTTCTGAAGTGGGACATTGAGACTTGGGAAGCACAGCCTCGGTCCCTGGGAGGCTCCTGGTGTGGCGGCACAGCCTGGGGACTGTTTGGGCTGGTGGCATCAGGGTGGTGCTCTCTGGCACCTCTCCCCAGATCTGGGCTCCCCCCCAGCTCATGACAAACCCACACCTCCCCTGCCCTGCTCAGCACCCAGGGGGCTTCTCCTGGTACCTCCAAGGACACCAAGGAGGAGCCACAGCAAACCCCTGCAGGGACATTTGGCCAAGAGCCACCCACAGCCACAGAGCAGGGACAGAGGCCATGGAACAGCCCCTGCCCCTGGCTGGGGTGTCCTTCCAGCCCTGGCACTGTCCCCATCCTGGCCAGGAGGTGACAAGGGACACCAAAGCAGTGTGACTGCAGGGACAGGGACAGGCTCTGTCCCCTGCAGGGACACACGGCCTGGCAGCCTCTGCCAGTCACTTATCACCTTGGCATGTGGGAGGTGCATCTGCTGAACCTTCCATGTTCAACCTCCCCTTCATCTCTCATCCCCCTCTTCACCTCCCGCACCTCCCATGTTCAACCTCCCCTTCATCCCTGCTGCCCCTCCTCACCTCCAGAACCTCCCATGTTCAACCTCCTCTTCCTCCCTCCTGCCTCTCCTCACCTCCAGAATCTTCCATGTTCAACCTCCCCTTCATCCTTCATCCCCCTCTTCACTTCCAGAGCCTTCCACATTCAACCTCTCCTTCCTCCCTCCTGCCCCTCTTCATCTCCAGAACCTTCCATGTTCAACCTCTCCTTCCTCCTCTCCCCCCCAGCCCTCTCCTGCTCTGCACCATTCCAGGTGGGAATGCCCCAGCCCTCCTGCACAGGGTCCTGCTGGGCTGGCTGCTCCAGGGGCAGCTCCTGGGCTGTAAATACTGACCAGCATGGTACCTGTGTGTGCTCCAGGGCTGTAAATAATGCCCAGACTGGTACTGTGTGTGCTCCAGGGCTGTAAATAATGCCCACACTGGTACCCCTGGGTGCTCCAGGGCTGTAAATAGTGCCCAGACTGGCACCCCTGGGTGCTCCTGGGCTGTAAATAATGCCCAGACTGGCACCCCTGGGTGCTCCAGGGCTGTAAATAATGCCCAGACTGGCACCCCTGGGTGCTCCTGGGGGATGCAGCCCCAGCCCAGGGTGGCACTGTTGCTCCTGAAGCCATCATGTGTCCCCTGTGTTGTTTCAGGAGCTCCACGGACCCCGTGGGCCATGAGGTGATCTGGGCCCTGGGAGCAGGCTGCAGGGACATCATCTCCCTGCAGGTCGCACCTCTGCATCCCTGGTAAGGCCTGGGAACACACAATGGACTGGGTGGGGAGGGACACACCCTGGGCCACCCCTGCCATGGCAGGGACACCTCCCACTGTCCCAGGCTGCTCCCAGCCCTGTCCAGCCTGGCCTTGGGCACTGCCAGGGGTGGAATTGGGTTAGGAGGCGGCCATGCTGAGTGTGGAAAGGATTTGAAAGGTTCTGCCAGAACCTGATTTGCTTAGGGGATGAGCAGCAGTCCTGGAGCCCAGCCCGTGGTTCAGGAGCTCATTCCATCCTTCCCTGTGCAAACTGGGAGTGCTGGGTGTCTGCACCTGCCTGCTGAGCTGGAGTGTTCCAGGGAGGCTGCTGACATCCAGATGAAAGGGATCTGTGCTGGGTTTGGGAGGGGGCACTGAGCATCAAAGGCTGGCTGGGCTCTCCCTGCTCAGCAGCAGCAGTAAGGTGGAATCACAGAACCCTGGAATGGTTTGGCTTGGACGAAACCTTAAACACTGTCCAGTGCCACCCCTGCCATGAGCAGGGACACCTCCCCCTGTCCCAGGGTGCCCCAAGCCACTCCAGCCTGGCCTTGGGCACTGCCAGGGCTCCAGGGGCAGCTACAGCTGCTCTGGGCAAGGTTTGGGTGCTGGGCACGCGGAGCTGCCCTGTCCCCGTGGCAGTGCCCATGCGGGGACACCCAGGGTGACCCCCGGGTGCTGGGGTGGGTGAGCTCTGGGTGCAGCCCCTCTGGGCAGTGCCTGGGGGTGTGGGTGGGTGGCCGTGCCACCGCAGCTGTTGTCCCTGTGTCCCCAGCCAGCAGCCCACCCGCTTCAGCAACCGCTGCCTGCAGATGATCGGGCGCTGCTGGCCCCACCTGCGCGCGCTCGGCGTCGGCGGCGCCGGCTGCGGCCTGCAGGGACTGGCATCCCTAGGTAGGAATGGTGGGATTGTGGGTCACTGGGGTGGAGAGGGGCTCTGGGGGCATCAACACACCCTGTGCTCCATGCCCAGCCTGTGCCCCATGCCCAGCCTGTCCCCGGCCCAGGGAACTCAGGATATGGGTCACTGGGCTGGGGAGGGGCTCTGGGGGCATCAATACACCCTGTGCCCCATGCCCAGCCTGTCCCCACACCAGCACTTGGGATCATGGGTCACACAGTGGGTCACTGGGCTTGGGGAGGATCCAAGGGCCACCAACCCACCCTGTGCCCAATGTCCACCTTGCCCCAGCTCAGCACTCAGGATCATGGGTCACACAATGAGTCACTGGGCTTGGAAAAGGTCTTTGGGATTGCCAAATCCACCCTGTGCCCAATGCCCACCATGTCACCAGCCTAGGGCACCTCCAGGCACTCCCTGGGCACCTCCAGGGGTGGAGACTCCAACCCTCCCCGGGCACCACCCCCTCCTGCTCTGAAGGGACAAGGACAGGGCAGAGAGGTGCTCCTGGTGTCCCTGTGCAGAAGCCCACCCATCCCAAGCTCCATGGGTGCTCCTGGTGCCCCCAGCCCCTGTCCCCGGGCTGTCCTGGTCCCCTCCCCATGGTGCTGATGATGGCTGTGTGTGTCCCCAGCCCGGAACTGCATGAGGCTGCAGGTGCTGGAGCTGGACCACGTGGCCGAGATCAACCAGGAGGTGGCAGCTGAGGTGTGCCGGGAGGGGCTCAAGGGGCTGGAGATGCTGGTGCTCACCTCCACGCCGGTGACCCCCAAGGCCCTGCTGCACTTCAACAGTGAGTAGCACTGCCAGGGCATGGCCTGTTGGCACTGGGACCTGCTGGGAGCTCTCTGGGTATCCAGCATCCCCCACCAGGGATGGGCCAGGGAGAGCTGATCTTACCTTGGGCCAGGGGGAGGATGGAGATGCTCCCTCCATGGCCCCAGGGTAACCAGTCCTCGGTGTTTGTGACACACCTGAGGCTTGTGACACACCTGAAGGCATTGGCCAGGCCAGGAGGTGCAGAGCCCCAGGAGGGCCTGTCCTGGTGATCACAGCTTGGGTGGCCATGGCTGGGATCCCTGTGGGTGGCAGAGACAGGGATGCCCAGGGGAGAGGGAGGACCCCAGTTTGGGATGGTGTGGTGGTGTGAGATCCTCAGGATGAGGTGAGAGATGAGAATTTGACTCCATGTCCTCAGAAGGCTGATTTATTATGATATGATATGATATGATATATATAATGTTATATATTATATATATGATTATATATGATTATATTATATTATATATGATTATATTATATTATATTGTATTATATTATATTTACGAAAACTATACTAAAGAAATAGAAAGGATACATCAGAAGGCTAGAAAATAATGAATAATAAAAACCCATGACTGATCAGAGAGTCCAACACAGCTGGACTGGGATTGGTCATTAATTAAAAACAATTTACATGGAACCAATCAAAGATGCACCTGTTGGTGAGCAACTTCCAGAGCACATTCCAAGCAATCACATAATTGTTGTTTACATTTATTTTCTTAGGCCTCTCAGCTTCTCAGGAGAAAAATCCTGGGCAAAGAAGATTTTTCAAAAAATATGACAGTGACAGGGCAGGGCAGCCAGGGCCATCTCACAGCCCATGGTCCCCCTGCCCAGACCCTGGCCAGGCCTCGTCCATCCTCAGGGAGAGTAGTCCCCACACACAGGGGGGTAACTGGGCTCCCTGCTGGCCCTGGGGAGGAGATCCAGGTGCTGTCTGTGCCCCCAGGTGTATGCAGGAACCTGAAATCCATCGTGGTGCAGGTGGGCATTGTGGACTACTTCAAGGAGCCCCACAGCCCCGAGGCCCGGAAGATGTTTGAGGAGATGGTGAACAAACTGCAGGTAAAGGAGCCCAGTCCCAGCTCTCAGGGTGGCACCAGCCCTGTGTCCTGCCCGTGGCAGGGGCAGAAATGTCCCCCCTCTCCCTCCCTCCCCTCTTTCCTTCCCAAGGCAGGGATTTGAGGTGTTCCTCTCTCTCCCTCCCTTGTTCTGTGTCCTTCTCATGGCAGGGATTCTTCTGTTCTTCCCTTGCCCCTTTCTTCCCCATGGCAATTTTGGAGAATTGGCAAATGCATGGAGAATTTGGGGCATTCTCCCTTTTCCCTCCTCACCCCATGGCAGGATTTGGGGCATTCACCTCACCCCATGGCAGGATTTGGGGTGTTCCCCTGTCCCTCTCTCACCCCATGGCAGGATTTGGGGAGTTCTCCTTTCCCCCCTCACCCCATGGCAGGATTTGGGGGGGTTCCCCTGTCCCTCCCTCACCCCATGGCAAGATTTGGGGCATTCCCCTGTCCCTCCCTCACCCCACTGGAGGATTTGGGGCATTCCCCCATTCCCCCCTCACCCCATGGCAGGATTTGGGGCATTCCCTGGTTCCCCCTCACCCCATGGCAGGATTTGGGCAGGATTTGGGGTGTTCCTTTCCCCTCCCCATGGATCAGTGGCTCTGTTGGCTCCCCCCAACCCCTCTGTCTGCTCCTCCTGTTTCAGGCCCTGAGGAAAAGGCCTGGCTTCTCCAAGATCTTACACATCAAGGTGGAAGGAGGCTGTTAGCCCTTCAGGGAGCCCAAAGCACATTCCCTGCTCTGCCCAGAGCCCCGAGGGGCCGGACGGGGACCCCCGATCGGGCACCAGGAACCCCAAACTCGCAGCCTTTGGGGACCCCCCGGGTGACAAGGTGCTACTCAAGGACAAGTTTTGGCTGTCCCCAGAGCCAGGGCCGTGCTCTTTGCCAGGAGGAGGATGGTTTTGCAGCCCTGCAGCTGCTCCTCACCCAGGATCCGTGTTTGGGGACAGCTTTTCTGCTGATCTCTGCTTTGGGGATCCCTGATCCCATTCTGGGGCTGGGCTGGCCACTGCAGCCCCAGGTGCTGGACCTGGGCTGGGAAGGGGCTGCTCCTCCCCCAGCATTGCCCAGGGTTTCTGCTCCTTTTCCTGTGGGATTTGGCACAGGGGCACCTGAACCCAGGAAATGCTCCCAGGAGCCAGCAGAGCACGAGGCCAGGAGCAGAGCTGCACCTCGGGCAGCCACAGGGCACAGGAGAGATGGGCGCTCCTCCAGAGGGCTCCAGCCTCACCTCCTCTCCTCCAAACCCTCCTGCCAAGGCAATAAACCATCTCCAGATCCTCACCCACCAGGAAACACGGGTCACACTCCTGTCCCCAACATCCCCAGACTCCATCTGGGGTCAGGGTCCCATGTGGAGAGAGGGACTGACACAGGACACCCACGTTTGCCTTCCCCAGCAGCCTGAAGGAGAAACCCTGGCCAGAATATCCTGAAATGATCCTGGGAAAAGCACCAACCAACAGCCCTGGCTGATCCTTATCTACAGCCACCATTTTCTAATTCTGATTTTTCTTCTGAGTGCCCTCAGCCTGCAAGGACGTCATCATCATCCCCGGAACATCCTTTTTCCATGGGAAAAGGCTTTGGAAAGGCATCCAGCAGGGTCAGGCATCTCCATCCTCCACCCTGGGGAGAAGGTAGCAGGAGGTGGCCCTGGGGCTGGGGACACCACCAGAGCACTGCCAGCAGTGGGGACAGCCCAGCCTTACCCACAGCCCCAGCTCCTGTCCTTGGGCTGAGCAGAGAAGAGACTGGGACAGTGGATCTGGGGTTTTCCCTCCTCTCTGGACCAGCCCTGCAGGTTTTGATGCCTGCTGCTCCCCTCCCAGAGCCTGTCCCCTGCCCAGCCCTCACATGGAGTATCCCCCAGGAGGGACTGGCTGCAGATCCAGCACCATGTCCCTCAGCCATGGCACAAGAGCTGCTGACCTCAGCTGGGGCTGCCACACAGCCCGTGGGGAACCCCAGAGCAAGGAGAATCACCCCAAATCACCGAGGCTGGTGGAGCTGGAGGCAGCTCAAGACCCTTCAGCCTCCCTCCATCCTGCCTGCTCTGAAGCAGGATGGGGTTTTGTGGCCACAGCCCCGTGGGAATCAGCCCCGCTCCCCCTCCCATGCTGCTTTCCAGGAGAAGGCTGTTCCTGAATGCACAAAATGTGGGAGCCCAAACACACCTGCGAGAAGCTCCTGCGCCCCCAGATCCCACGGATGAGCTCCTGACTCCCTGCCATGCCCACCATGGGTTTACCTCCACCCTGAGGAGCCTGGCACATTCCTAACCCTGGGGCAAGGGGTGCTCCAACCAGCAAAAACCACCCAGCAGAGCTACAACCCCCAGGAGCAGGAGCATGGCCCAGTGGAGATGGCAGCACCACAGCACAGGGACTCGTGGAATTCCCTTAAAAACAAAAACAAAACAAAGTACCTATTTATTTCTATAAAGAGAAGAAGGAAAAAAAAAAAGATTTTCAAGGAAAATTATATACTCAGCATGTTTATACACTCTATGCTTAAAGACTCTCATGGCCCAGAGGGGTGCCCAAGCCTGGAGGTGGCTGCTCTGGGTGTGCCTGGAGCCTCTCCTGGCTCCTGGGAGGGCGAGGATGAGGAGATGGAGAGAGAGGAGGTTTGAGGACTCTCAGAGAAACCTTCTGTGCCAGAAGAAGGGGTCATGACTGTGTGTGTGGTGGCATTGGTGACCCTGTGACATCCCCATCCCTGCGCTGCCCACGGGGCTTTGGAGGCACGGCAGAACTCTCTCCTGGATTCCTGGTGCATCCACCCCCAGGAGCTCTCCTGGATTCCTGATGCATCTCCAGGAGCCTCTCCTGGATTCCTGGTGCATCCATCCCCAGGAGCCTCTCCTGGATCCTTTGTGCATCCCCAGGAGCTCTCCTGGATTCCTGATGCATCTCCAGGAGCCTCTCCTGGATCCTTTGTGCATCCCCAGGAGTCTCTCCTGGATTCCTGGTGCATCCCCAGGAGCAGATCAAACCCTCACCTCTGCTCGGGGCATTCCCGAAAAACCCAGCTCAGCAAAGCCACGTTTTTACACAAATCCTCTGATGGCACAAGACCTTGAGTGGGTTCAAGGATGAGAAGATGGAAAGTGGGGATTTCTCCCTGTTTTACTTGGGCTTGAGTGGATCCCTTCCTCCTCCTCCTCGTCGGCTGGGGATGAAGGCGGCTGGCACAGTGACAGGAGCGGTGGGAAGGAGGGCCCTCCTGGTGGCTCCTAATTGCCCAGCTTGTTAACGAGCTCATTGAGGGCTCTGAAATGCCAGAAGGATCCTGCCCCTGCTGCTTCCCCTGCCCTGTCCCGCAGGGTTCCTTGCGGGGGGCTCCGGCCACGCTGGCCCTGGTCCTGGATTCACCCTGGATTCAGCCCTGGATTCATCCTGGATTCACCCCTGAATTCAGCCCTGGATTCACCCCTGGATTCACCGGAGCCTCAGCCCCATTTCCTCTGGAAGTGATGGGAAACACCCAGAAATGCCGAATTTCCTGGGAAAGCCTTCAAGGCACACAGCACGTTCAGCTCAGCCCCTGAGAAGTGCCAGAGGGGCTCTGCGATGACAATCCCAGTGAAATCCAGGGATCTGGGGACAGGATTGGGGTCACAGCCATGGCCAGAACTGGCAGGGGCTGGATGGACTGTGGTTCTGAGCCTGGCTCCTGCAGGACTAGTTCTGGGGAGATTTATTCCTTTTCGAATGGTTTTCCCAAAGTTTCCCCATGGCTGACATTGTCAGCATTCCCCTTCCCCTGAGTTTGAGTGCTGGTCAGGGATTTCAGGAGGAACAACATCACCAAAGGCAGCTCAGGGGCCAAAGCCACCCCAGCTCCCTGGGTTTGTGTCCCCCTGGGTTGGATTTCACTTGTTCCCATCACTCCCAGCCCCAGGGATGCTCTGGGGACCAGGGGCCTCCCCTGCCTTGTCCCTGTGCCTTGGGGCTCCAGGGTGTCAGGGAATGGGGGAAAAGGGACCCCCAGGCTGGCTCTGCCCCACCAGGGTTTTAAACCTCTCTGTCCCTGTTCCTGCCGTGTGTCCTGCTGCCACCAAGGGCATGGCCACGGCAGGGGCTGGTCTGGATACCCCAGAAGAGCCTGGATTTAGGGAAAACAGAACAAAAACAAAACAGGAGAAGTGTTGGTAATGGCTCCTGAAGTGGTTAGCAGATGTTTTCCTTCAGCTTTTAGGAGAGCCCCAGCCCAGGAGCTGGAGCATTGCTTCAGCCTCATTTTGGGGTGAGAGACAGCAGGTTGGGGTGGAGCAAAAGCATTTGGGAATTGGTGCCAAATGAGAAAGTGCTTTAAAAGGGAACAAATCCCAGGGAGCAGGGAGATGCTGGGAAGCAGAGATGGTTTGTTGTGAAGCATTACAGGGTATTGTGAGGCGGTGATGGACCTTCCCCATCAGTGGGAGGCAAAATAATCCCTGGAGAGGGTGGGAGAGCACTGAGGGAAAGCTGCTGCAGCAGCAAGGAGGGAAAACTGCCCAAAAGCAAGATAAAAAAAGGGATTTTCTAATGCAGCCTTGTGATTGAGCCTGTGGAGGCCAACGAGGCAGGTTGGGGCCGGGGACAAGTGGGTGCAATGGTGTGGGGCAGTTTGTGGGAGGCGAGGGGGTGATGCACAGTTGCTTCGAGATAATCAGAGGAGATAATCAGTGCAGAGAACAGAGCTATAGAATTCAGGAACTGGAATCATTCCCTACAGCCCTGGACGGCAGCGGTGTACAGCGACCTCCCCTCCCCAGAGCTTCCCCTGACCTCCCTCCCAAGTTATTTTTTTAACTCTCTATAAATTTAGGTCTATTTTAGTCTTTCTGCAGCGATGTGCCAGTGTCTGGAGAACCAAACATCCCTTGCTGCCCCCACCCCGTGGTCCCTGGATGCTAACCCGGGCGTGGTGGGAGCTGTGCCAGGGCAGGGCAGGGCTGGGCAGCAGGGCCAGCTCCGGCCGGCAGCCCGCGGGTTTAGCACTTTGGTTGGAACTCTCACCTGTAGACGCACTTTGATGTTGTTGCTTTGAAACTTTGGCAAGTGTAAACAATGTGTATTTAAAGAATTACAGAGAAACGACCCCCAGCCAAGCGTGTAAAGAGCTATTTTATGACTCGGTGTTGAATAAAGACTCTGGAGATCGAGCTGGGTTTTCACTCTCCCGGGGCTCACGCTGGACCCACACCAGTGACACCAGTTGCAGTTTGGGGCCTACTGGAAGTGTCCTCCTGACTCTCTCTGCAGGTCCAGGGGCTGCACTGGTCTGGCATCACGGGGCACAGGGACAAAGTGGGATACAGGGATACAGCATGGGGGGAGCACTGAGGAGGGAAGCCCTGGCACAGGGTGCCCAGAGCAGCTGTGGCTGCTCCTGAGTTCCTGGAAGTGTCTAAGGCCAGGCTGGACATCAGGTCTTGGAGCACCCTGGGACAGTGGGAGGTGTCCCTGGATGATCTTCATGGTCCCTTCTAACCCAAACCATCCCATGATTGTGTATTTCTTTCACTGTCCTCCTCCTCACCTGTAACCCACCAGACCCAAGTCTCCCCATATTCTCCCAGCACCATTTTCCTGTTTGAGTCCCCCCAAATGCCTGGATCCATCCTTGGAGCTGTCACACAGCTGCTGCCCTGAATCTCCTTCCATGAAGCAAAGTGGAAAATGGAAATACCCCATTGAGCAGAGCCAATTAAAATGTCAGTGAGCAATATCTGAGAGCTCCAAGCACACACAGGGGTGCTCCATCCTAGAAGCACTCCTGGGCTGTGCCTGGAGTCTGCCCTGCTCTGCAGCACAGCACCTGCTTTGAAATGGGCCAAAACCAGCCTGAAAGGTTCATTTCTAACCCCAGTCCTGAGGCCTCCCTGTGTGGAATGAAGCAGAGAACAGAGGGCAAACCCAACTGCCACTGAGACCAACTCGTTTTATTGTGGTGGAGCCTGGCTTCAAACTGCCCAGCAGAACAAAACACAAACCAGTATAAATAGGCCCCAGAGCCTGCCTGTGCTGGCTCCAGCCCGGGGGAGGGAATGCTCCTGAGGAGGGAAGGGTCCCCAGGGAGTGAAGGGTCCTCAGGAGAGGAGCCTGGGGAAGGAAGGGTCCTGAGGAGGGAAGGCTCCCGAGGGAATGCCCAGGCCAGTGAGGCAGCGCCAGGCAGGGCAGCTCCAGGGCTGTGGCTGCCAGTGCCAGGAGCTGCCTGTGACCGCCAGGAGCTGCCTGTGACCGCCCCCAGCCCAGGGCTGGCAGCTCTCTGCAGGGCCAGGAGCAGCCACCAATCCCCGCACGTTTCCAGGAGCTCTCAGTGGCTGTGGAGCTGGCAGCTCTCTGCAGGGGCAGAGCAGCTGCTGCTCCCCGTGGGTTTCCAGCTCTCAGTGGCTGTGGGGCTGTCTCCCTTGGCCAGGGAAGGAGCAGCTGCTCAGTGCCCATGGGACTGCCAGCCCTGGCCAGGGAAGGAGCAGCTGCCAATCCCTGTGGGTTTCCAGGAGCCCTCAGTGGCTGTGGGACTGCCAGCCCTGGCCAGGGAAGGAGCAGCTGCCAATCCCCACAGGTTTCCAAGAGCTCTCAGTGGTTGTGGGGCCGGGCTCTCTGCAGGGGCAGGAGCAGCTGCTCAGTGCCTGTGGGTTTCCAAGAGCTCTCAGTGGCTGTGGGGCTGGCAGCTCTCAGCAGGAGAAGGAGCAGCTGCTGGCTCCCCCAGGTTTCCAGGAGCTCTCAGTGGTTGTGGGGCCGGGCACGGGCGCGGCCGCGGGCCCCGGCAGCCCCGGCAGGCTCCACGCTGGAGCGCGGGTTGCGGATGGTCTCGTCCACGGACACGATGAGGCACGCGGCCTCCGAGGCGGCCGTCAGAGCGTTGATGCGCACCACGGCCGGCTCCCACACGCACGCCTGGAAATTGTCAGCGATGTCCTCGTTGGTCACGTCCACGCCGTACCACATCCCGCCCTGGGGACAGAGGGACAGGTCAGTGCCACAGCCTGCTCTGAGGGACAGAGGGGACAGGGATCAGTGCCACATCCCGGCCTGAGGGACAGGGATCAGTGCCACATCCTGGCCTGAAGGACAGATCAGTGCCACAGCCTGCTCTGGGGACAGAGGGACAGAGATCAGTGACACATCCCACCCTGGGGGACAGAGAGACAGGATCAGTGCCACATCCTGCTCTGAGAGACAAAGGGACAGGGATCGGTGCCAGATTCCACTCTGAGGGACAGCGATCAGTGCCACATCCTGCTGAGGGACAGAGGGAACAGGGATCAGTGCCATATCCTGCCCTGAGGGACAGAGAGACCCATCCCACTCTGAGAGGGCAGAGGGGACAGAGGGGACAAAGGGGACAGGGACTGGTCATGGGGCTGGGTGGGACTTGGGCCAGGCAAAGGTGAAGGGAGAGGCTGGAGCCTCCCTCACGTTCCACTGTGAAGGAAAACACAAGAAATCCAAGCTGAACAGCCTTTGCTTTCAGCCACCAGTGCCAGCAGTGCCTCATGAAGAGGAGGCTCCTTCCAGTTTGGGATCACAGAGTCACCGAGGCTGGAAAGGCCCTCCCAGACCATGCAGTCCCACCTGTGCCCCATCCCCACCTTGTGCCCAGCCCAGAGCCCTGAGTGCCACCTCCAGCCCTTCCTGGGACACCTCCAGGGATGGGCATTCCAAACCTCCCTGGGCAGCCCTACCATGAAGCTGCAGGAGCCTCCCAGGCCTGACTCCCCTCTGCTGCTGCCTCACTGCCTGGTTCTGCACCCTCATTTTGGGGCACCCTCCAAGCCTCACACCAGCAACAGGCTGAAACTGCTGGGAGTGACAGAACCCAAGGGACAACCTCCAAGCCCTGGAGCTGGGATCTCCACAAGACCTTCAGCCTGCAGCTCCTGTGTAAAACGCTTAGCTCAGCCAGCTCCTGCACTCTGCTTCCTTAAATGTTTAACACAGCAGCTCCTTCCTGACAAATGATGAGTTTTTAAGGAGCAAATCAGAACTCCCAGCTCAGGAAGTCACCTGACAGCTGGGATCAAAGGGAAATCAGCTCCTTTCCATTTATAGCCACCTGTGCCAGGCCCACACCTGATGTGAAACAAACACGGTGCTTAATCAAAGGGGACACGGCTCCAACACAGGCTCAGCTGAGCTACACCAGCTCTGACAGGCTCCAGGAGGGAACTGGGGACAAAAGAACCACACACACACACACACACACACACTGCCTCTGGGATGCCTGGGTGTCTGAGGCTGAAAGATGCAGCTGGTGTGTATTCTATTGCACCTGTCAGAGGTGGGGCAGTTCTCTGCCGTTCATTGGGCAATTTTCTTTATCTCTTCCACAACCAACCCTCCCTCCAGGAAATAATGTCTGTTAATGGGGCATTAATTATTAATTATCTGCTGTGAGTGTCCCTGCATGGCTGATCAAATTCCACCATTCCATGGGGAGATGCTCCGCCCAGGGGAGGAGCCAAGCATTCCTACCTGGATCCAATCTGAGGTTTGGGACACCCCAGCAGCCTTTGCCCACTGCATTGCCAGAGGAGCAGCTTTCTGCTGCCCTGCATTGCCAGAGGGAGCCCAGGCCCATCTCCAGCAGCCCTGGAGCTGCAGAGGAAAACTCCCCCCTTGTGCAGGATCCCTGCTGCAGCAGAGCCACAGCTGGCACTGCAGGAGGGCTGAGCCCCCATGGGATGGGGCTGGGACACCTCCCTGACACACAGGGGGCCAGGTCCATTTCTAATTCTGTCAGGGTTGTTTTGTACTATTGCACTTGTATTTTTAATTTTCCTAGCAAAGAACTGTTATTCCTATTGCCATATCTTTGCCTGAGAACCCCTTAATTTCAAAATTACAATAATTCAGAGGGAGAGGGTTTGCATTTTCCATTCAGGGGAAGTCCCTGCCGTCCCCAGCAGCCACCTGTCTGTTCAGGCAGGCCCCAGCCATACCTGGGCGTGCTTGGCGCGCAGCTTGTTGAGGATGTTGGTGGCGTCGAAGCCGGCGTTGTCGCACAGCTGCCGGGGGATGATCTCCAGGGCCTTGGCGTAGGCGCCGATCAGCAGCTGCTGCTTGCCCGGGATGGTGCGCGAGTAATCCCGCAGGAACTTGGAGAGCTCCATCTCGATGGCGCCGCCGCCCGCCACCACCGAGTCGTTCTGCAGGGAGGGACAGGGACAGCACAGGGCTCTGTCAGGGCTCTGCAGGCTCCTGGCAATGCACAGCCCATGGCAATGCACAGCCCTGCGAGCCCACAGCAATGCACAGCCCTGCAGGCATGGCAATGCACAGCTCCTAGCAATGCACAGCCCTGCCAGCCCACAGTAATGCACAGCCCTGCAGGCTCCTGGCAATGCACAGCCCATAGCAATCCACAGCCCTGCAGGCTCCTGGCAATGCACAGCCCTGTCAGCCTATGGCAATGCACAGCCCTGCAAGCTCCTAGCAATCCACAGTTCTGCCAACCCATGGCAACCCACAGCCCTGCCAGTCCACGGCAATGCACAATTCTGCCAGCCCATGGCAATGCACAGCCCTGCCAGCCCACAGCAATCCACAATTCTGCCAGCCCATGGCAATGCACAGCCCTGCCAGCCCACAGCCCTGGTGCTGCTGTCCCTGAGACTGTCCCTGAGCAGCAGCAGGGACACACCAAGAACCTCCAGTGGCAGGTGCAGCAGCTCAGCCCAGCTGTGCACAGGACAAAGGGGGGTTTGGGGACACTACACCCAAAGGAAGGGATGGCAGCTCACTCCCAACTCCCAACCTCACTCGCATCAAGCGTCCAAAACTAAAGCTATTGGCAGCAGCACCTTGCAGTTCAGTTCTTCTGCTTTTTCAAGAGGAAGATCAGGATGTTCTTTCTAAAAGCAACACCTCCAAAACTCCTGACATGCTTCTCCCCAGCCCCTCAGGACATGCAGCCTCAGAGATGCTTTTAACAAGAAGCCCTTCCTACAGCAACACGTTTTTCTGAACCCAGAAACATCCACAGCTTGGCAGTGTGACCCAGGATCAAACACACATCCAGAGAGGCCACAGGACTTCTCTTGGTGCCCCCAGCCTGCCCTCAGAGCCAGGGGACTGTCATGCCCTCAGACTGGGTACCAAGAGAGGGGCAAGTGGCTCTATGGACATGGACACACATGTTCCATCAATCTGCTGTTCCAGCTCCTGAAGCTCCACCCAGTACAGCCAGAAGCCTGCTCCCTTTAAGGTGAAGAATGGAGCAAGCACGAGGTAGAGCTGCACAGAAGTGCAGGCAGAACCCAGGCGTGCCTGGAGAGCAGCTGCAAACACTGCCAGAGCCACGCTGAGCCAGCCAAGGAACTGCACTCGAGTGACTCCACGGGACGTGCTCACCATGCAGAGCCCTCAGCCAAGGCCTGCTGTGTGTGTGAGGTGTGCAGGGAGGGCAGGGCAGGGGCCAGGCTCACCTTGATGGCCCTCCTGACGATCATGATGGCGTCGTGCAGGGAGCGCTCGGTCTCCTCCATGAACTGCTCGGCGCCCCCGCGCAGGATGATGGTGCACGTCTTGGCCTTGGGGCAGCCCGTGAAAAAGTTGTACCTGCCACAGGGAGGGTGGGCATGGAGAAGCTGCTGCATTGTGGGACAGAGCCAGCCCCGCAGCCGTGTCCCTCTCACAGCCCCAAGGGACCAAGGAGGAGCAGGGCCAGGGAACATTGAAGTGACGTTCCAGGTAATCCAGGAAAATCCGTTCTCTTCCTGCTGCCAGGGGCTCACACTGAACTGGTGCTCCCAGTTTGCACTTGGCAGGAGCACAGAGGGCAGCAGCCAGCCCCAAACAGGACTGGAAGGACCCCAGGGTACCATCCCCAGCTTCTCCTGCACTGGCAGGGAAGGGTCAAGGTGGAACATCACAGAAGAGCCACAATCAACCCCAAAATGTGGTGGTTTTCCATTACAAATGTGACAGTACCACTGTGCTTTTTACAAGGCACTGCAGAATAAACACGTGTTTTTCAAAGCTTTTACAAGAGGTAGGATCTCAGTGAAATCTTGCTCCTGCCCCCTCCCCCAGCCTCAAAAAGCAGCTTCTGGCTACAATAAAATATACAATAAAATATACATTTTCTAACAACCTTGTTTTCAACTCAACAGCTTGAGAGATGTTGACACTGCCAATGCTCTGACCCCAACTTTTCCACCTGCTATGAGAGGGCTTGCACAGCATCAAAGGTTTGCAGCTGGTGTTTTTTACCTCTCTCCCCCAATCTGGGTCTCCTCAAAGAGCTCACAGCGGCCCAGCACATCATCCGACAGGGCATTGACACTGGTCTGGATGGATCCCCCACAGGCCTGCAGGGAATGGGGACAAACATGGAATTAGCACTGCTGACAGCCCACACCAACCTCCCAGCAGGCTCCACTCTCCAGGGACAGCCCAGATGCTGAGCTGGTGCAAACCCATCCTGCAGATTCAGGAAAACCTTGCTCCCTCCTTCCCCTCTCATGGATCCAGGCCAACCCTCAACAGCAAAATAAGTTTATGCAGCTTCAAGGAGCTGACTCACAGGCTCCAGAGTCCAGGAGATAAACAAAGAAAGCTCAGGAAAAAACCCACTCATGATGGAACAGGTAAAAACACAGGAAAATAAATCTCTACTGATGCACTGATCAGATCTTTATATGTAACACCAGGCTGCCAGGGTGTGAGTGCTCACCCCACGAGGAACAGCCTTGTCCTTTCAAACCCTTGTGAGGAGCAGTGAGAGCAGTTTGGGAATGCCCAGCCTGGGATGCCAGAACTTTCCAAAGGCTTTCCTCAAGGCAGGGGAGCTCACCATCATGGTCCTCTTGAGGTCCTCCTCGGGGACACGGCCGGCACAGAACATGTCCCTGTCTGCGAAGTACTGCGTGGCCACGTCCCCAATGGGCAGCTTGGACAGCACCACCTTGGCTCCTGACTTGTGGATTTTGTCCAGTTTGTCATACAGGATGTTCCACTCTGCATCCACGATGGCCTGGTAGTCCTGGAGGAGGACAGGGGACAGGTGTTCCTGTGCCAGAGGATGCCCCATGTGCAGCCCTGGCACAGAGTCACGAGGGAGGGCCCTGTCCCATGGCACTGCCCAATGGCTGCTGCAGCCCCAGGAGCTCCTGCAGCTCTGCAGGCATGCTGGGTCAGCTGGCCCTGCAAGGCCCAAGGCAATCACCCAGAGCTGGTGGCTCAGCACAGCTGGGGCACAGGGACAGCTCAGCAACGTGTCCTGACCCTGCTGTGCTTCTCAGCCTGCTGGACCCCGGGCAGCACAGCCCACCAGGTGTTTGCAAAGGTGAAGGACGGGCGAAGGCAAACTCATTTATCATGGAATGGTTTGGGTGGGAAGGGACCTTTGAAAAGCCATCCAGTGCCACCACCTGCCATGGGCATGGACACCGTCCACTATCCCAGGTGGCTCCAAGCCCCATCTAAACTCACCTTGACACTCCCAGTGATGGGGCAGCCACAGCTGCTCTGGGAATTCCAGCCCAGCCCCTGCCCACCCTCCCAGCCAGCAATTCCTTGCCAAGATCCCAGCCCAATCTCCCCTTTCCCAGCGGGAGCCATTCCCTGGCTCCTGTCCCTGCAGGCCTTGTCCCCAGTCCCTTTGCAGCTCTCCTGGAGCCCCTCCAGGGACTCTGAGGATTCCCTGGAGTTTTCCCTTCTCCGGGGGAGCATTCCCAGCTCTCCAGCCTGGCTGCAGCCCTCCCATCTCACCCCTCCCAGGGGATGAGCAGCCCCAGGTGTGACAGGAGGAGGAAGCAGGCCAGGGCAGCTCTTACCTCCACAGTGTTGACTCTGACCTCGGCGTTGTCCTTCTCAGCCTTGAGCTCCAGCTCCACGTTGAGCAGGGCGATTTTGGGGGACTGGTACTTCTTGGGCTGCATCTCAAAGCCAGCGTAGGAGAAGGTTTTCTTAAAGGCAACTCCAGCCACCAGCTGTGAGTCCTGGAACACAGGGATTTGCCTCAGGCTCAGCCCCCAAGGCTTCCTGCACAGGGTTAATAATAACTCCCACAGGACACTCCCTGCTTCCAGAGGCCTCATTTACAAAGCCTTCCCTGCACTGTCTCCTTTGATTAACCCACTTTTAGAGGAAATAAGCAGCAAGCATTTCTTTCAGCTTACAAAAGCAGATTCCTCTCTACCCCTCAAAACTCCACAGCCAAAAACTCCTCACACAACCTGAAGATCAAGGAACAGAGCCTTCAGTTCTCTCCCTGATCTCTCTCCCATTCCTCCCCTTTGAACTTTTGGATATTTCTCATCTACAGCCCCACTGGGGGCTGGTTTTTGCTCTGGTTTGTCTTTCCAAGCTCCACCACCACCTCCTGGATTTTCTGTAGCAGGACAGCCCTGTCCAACACCATTCCCTGGCATGAGCTCCTCCATTTCCTGGGTAAAGAAATCAGGATCTGAATCTCCCTATCCACAGGGGCTGTCCCACAGCCAGGATCAATCCCTACCACATATGCAGGTGCAGTCCCAGACACAACAGGTTCTCCAGCACTGAGGCATAAACCACACATCCCACCTGCCCTGCCCACCACTGAATCAGCTTCATGAGGTTTGCCTTGCATTTTTCCCATCCCAGTAATCCTACATGCAACCAGGACTTTTGGATCCAGAAGTAACAAAGACTTCCCACAAAAAAATAATATTTGTAGAAAGATAGATGGAATTTCATCAGTAAGAACTTTTGCTGCAGTGAGGTGAAGAGTGTATTTAGCTCAAAACCAAGAAACCCTACCTATGGAAAAGAAACCCTGCTGAGTTTCTTCCTCACACCAGCAGCTTTGCTCCACTCTGGGAATTCCCCAACAGGCACTGTCAAGCTAGGCTGCACTTCTGCTAGAGGCAAGGCACCACCAGAGCTGGGATCTCTGTCTCCCACCCCTTCAGGACGGCTCCAGCACTTACTTCCAGAGCTCCTCCCTGCACCTTCTTTATCCCAATCATCTTGAGCTGCAACAAGTCATCCAACATCATCACAGCATCTACAACCATCTTGGAGAAAAACTCCTTGCTCTGGGAGATGAGCTTGGAGCTCAGGGCTGTGGCTGCACACTTTTCCAGGAGACTCCTCTGCTCACTGCAGGAAGGGAAGGAAAGGAAAAACAAAGGTTTGGTCACCTGCCAGACCTTTTCACAAGCCCCAAACACCGTATCGGGCTTTGTTAATCACAGCTTTGGTTGGAAAATAACTTTAAGATAATTCAGTCCAGAACTGCCAAGGCCACCAGTGCCCCATGTCCCCAAGTGCCACATCCACAGGGCTTTGAAATCCCCCAGAGATGGGGACTCTACCCCTGCCCTTTCCATGAGGAATGTCCCCAGTGCCCACCCTGAGCTCCCCTGAGGCCGTTCCCTCCACCCCTGTCCCTGTTCCCCTCCTGGCAGGGGCTGTGCAGAGCCACAAGGGCCCCCTGAGCCTCCTTTGCTCCAGGCTGAGACCCTGCCCAGCTCCCTCAGGGATTGTGCAGCCCCTTCCCAGCTCCCTCAGGGATTGTGCAGCCCCTTCCCAGCTCCCTCAGGGATTGTGCAGCCCCTTCCCAGCTCCCTCAGGGATTCTGCAGCCCCTTCCCAGCTCCCTCAGGGATTCTCCAGCCCTTCCCAGCTCCCTCAGGGATTCTGCAGCCCTTCCCAGCTCTGTTCCCTGCCCTGGCCATGCTCCAGCCCCTCATGGTCTGTCTTGTCATGAGGGGCCCAAAATCCTCTCTGACAGAGGCAAAGATCAGCTCCCTCCTGTCCATGGGGAGAACAAGGCACAAATCCCAGACTGACAAATCCCAGTTTCCTTTTCAGAGCTCGAGCATCAGCCCAGCACTGACTGACTTTCATGCACCTAAAATCAGAAAAGAGCAGGTGCCTTCCTTCATCACAAGGCAGGAAGATGCTCCTGAAACCCTCCAAAGGCAGGGTTCACATTCCCTGAAGTACTAACTCAGGTAATACACGTGCAGCAGTGGGTGACACAGAGACACCAGGGAGATGTGGATCCAGCTGCCAGGCTCTGTCTGTCCCCCATGGGAACCACTCTATTTCCCATCACAGGACCACATTTGGGTCTTTTTTTTTCCCAGAATTTTTTAAGAATTTGGTTTGGACAACCCATTTTAGTTTATTCAAGATGCTTATGCAGTTGAAATATTTCTAATTAACTGCAGGTATCAGCTAGGTCAAGTGGACAAGAGCTTAAAATCCAGGGAGAAAAGGAACTCCAGCATTCTCAGCTCAGCTGAAGGGATCACAGCTATGAGCTATCTACCTTGGTGTGTGACAGCTAAAAGGGGATCTGATCCTCAGGGAATGCTGAGATCTAACACTGCCACTGACTGCAGCAAGAGCTCCAAGAGTCCACAGCAGCAAAAAAGAAATCAGGCCACTTATTTTGGTGCCCAGCTTCCTCCATGAGCACTGGGAAACACTGCCCTACATCATCCCTGCAGCCAGGTGGGAGCACAGCACTGCCCCTTCAGGAGCAGGGAATTCCAGGGGAACTGGGAATAACCCCTGGTGGGGCTGCAGGTCCCAGGAAATGTCAGCCAGAGCCACAGAATGCAGGAGCACCCTCACAGCAGTCAGAGCCCAGAGCACAACCATGTCACCTCTAAGGAGAACTTACTCTTTATCCTCCTTCTTCACAGAGACAGCAATGTCTTTGATCTTGTTCACAGCCTGGCAAAAAGGCAACAGCTGGATTAATGATTTATGCTCCAACCTCTCTCTTTTTGTGTTTTATCTTTTGTTCCCTGCACCAACGTCACTGAAGCTCCAAGTGTTTAATTATTCCACCCCTGCCAGTACAATAGTTCCAAGGAATACACCAATATCTGAGGAGGGGGAGGAGGATCAGAGCTGCTCTGCTGCTTCTGTTTTTCAGCAGAGATCCTGGGAATCAAAGGGCTATTGAGGAGTGAACCTCCAAAAATCAGCTTAATGGGACCAAGAGGCTCCAGAAAACACACAGGTTACTAAGAAGCAGCAGAGAACAGGAGGAGCAGGGGAATGGGAAATGAGTTTTTACATTTATTCCTTGGGAGAAAACCCAAAGGAAGAGAGAGCACTCCAGAGGCAGGGACTGCTAACAGCAGGCCTGGCACAGGAGGGGCAGTGCTGCTGGCAGGGGGCAGCAGAGGTGGCTGCTGGCACTCCCCACGCTGGCACAGACACGTTTTATGAAAAATCCTTTCCTTAGGATTTTTCCTCCTGAGAAGCTGAGAGGCCTCAGGAACAAAATGTAAACAATGGTTATCTGCTGCTGTGGAATGCAACAGGTGCATCTGTGATTGGTCTCATGTGGTTGCTTGTAATTAATGGTCAATCACAGTTAGCTGGCTTGGACTCTGTCTGAAACACAAGCTTTTGTTATCATTCTTCCTTTTTCTTAGCTAGCCTTCTAATGAAATCCTTTTTTCTATTCTTCTAGCATAGTTTTAATGTAATATATAACATAAATAATAAATCAGCCTCCTGAAACATGGAGTCAGATCCTCATCTCTTCCCTCATCCTGGGACCCCTGTGATCGCCATCACATGCACACCCATTCCCCAGTGGGCTGTCCCTGGCCCTGGCAGGGTGTCCCTGGCCCTGGCAGGGTGTCCCTGGCCCTGGGGCAGGCCCTGCTGTCCCCAGGGCACCGTGTCCCTGTGCCTCACCAGCTGCGTGGCCGTGCGGAAGGCGCGGATGATGATCTGGGGATGGAGCCCCTCCTCCACGTAGGGCTTCACCTGCTTCAGGAACTCAGCTGCCAGCAGGGTCACAGACGTGGTGCCATCACCCACCTGCAGGGACAGGGGACCATGCTGTGACATCCCCACGTTGTGACACCCCCACGCTGTGTCACCCCCCGAGAGCAGCTGCAAAACCACTCCAGAGCTTCCAGGGAAACCAGAGCTCAGGATTTTCTCTGCTCACAGATTTGTGGCTGAATTCCTCAGTGATTCAGAGTGGTCTGGATGGGAAGGGACCTCAAAGCCCATCCAGTGCCACTCTCTGCCATGGGCAGGAACATCTACTGCCATCCAACATTGCTCCAAACCCCGCTGAACCTGGTCTTGGGCACTGCCAGGGATCCAGGGGCAGCCACAGCAAATCTGGCAATTCCAGCCCAGCCCCTGCCCACCCTCCCAGCCAGAAATTCCTTGCCAAGATCCCAGCCCAATCTCCCCTTTCCCACTGGGAGCCATTCCTTGGCTCCTGTCCCTGCAGGCCTTGTCCCCAGTCCCTCTCCAGCTCTCCTGGAGCCCCTTCAGGGACTCTGAGGATTCCCTGGATTTTTCCCTTCTCCAGGGGAACATCTCCAGCTCTGCCAGCCCGGCTCCAGAGCAGGCAGAACAAGCCCCAGCACTCCCAGAGCAATTCCCAGAGCTGACACTGAGCCAGGGCAGCAGTGGCACTCAGGCTGCTCCCTGTTCACCCCCAGGCACAGCCAGGCTCCCCTCCCACCTCGGCATCCTGGGACTTGGCAATGTCCACCAAGGTCTTGGCGGCCGGGTGCACAACGTCCAGCAGCTTTAGGATGGTGGCCCCGTCATTGGAGATGGTGGCTTTGCCTGGGGGTCATGGAGAAAAGGAAGTTAAAGGCAGCTTTACACCAGCAGGGGCAAGCCCTGTCTCTGGGGGCTCTCAGGAGATCCCAGCAGGTTCCTCTGCTCCACCAGAACTGAGTCCTGTCAGCCCATTTCTGGAGCAGGTTCAGTGAAGTCAGTCTGAGCACAGAACAACTTTCCACACCAACACAGGTTTGGAATTCACTTCCCTCTTCTCAAAGGCCTCCCCAGACAGACAAAACCATATTCTAGTCTGAGACATCCATGAACAAAGAGTCTAGAAATCCTATTAGTTATCATAGGAGAAATTTAAATCCAATTATCCTTTTGAACAAGGATTTATTAACAGTTCCTATCTGTAAAAACTATTTAAAGACAATCCTAAGCCTTTTCACTCCACCCTTCAGTAACAAAAATAATAAATAATGAGTTTGGTGACTTCATACAGGTCTTTTCAAGAGTGATGGCAAAGCTCATCTCTTAAATCACACTCCAAAAAAAAAATTAAAAATCAACCCAGGAACATCCACTGACCTCACACTCAGCCACAACTGCTGAGAAACTCCACAGGTGTCATGAGCCTCATTTAAAAATAGAGATGACCAAAACTGCCTGAAGCAAGGTTCAAGCCTCTCTGCTTCTCCTGTCTGGCACAGATTTACACTGGATGCATCCAACTGATGCCTCAGGTTTAGCTTTTCTATTTTTCACATTCTGTGCTGCTTTAGTGTGTGGGTCTGGGCTTCATATTATGGGACAGTGACAAAACAATTCCTGCTCCAGCTGGGCACCAAGGACAAATGATCCAAATCTCAGCCCAAGAGCACAAACACTGTGGGCTGGAGAGAGAAAAACAAGCAGGGTGGGACTGCCTGGGCTAAAGCTGGAACGGGACAATGAACTGCAAGGTGCAAATGGAGCAGAACTGATCACAGTGACAGACCCCAGGAGCGCTCGTGCATTTTGGTTCATCTTGGGTTCATTTTGGGACCATTTTGGGTCATCCTGGGTTCATTTTGGGACCATTTTGGTTCATCTTGGGTTCATTCTGGGACCATTTTGGGTCATCCTGGGTGCAGCCCTGGCTGGGCTCTTGTGCTGCCCAAGGTGGATCCATTGAGGAAATCCTTTTAATAAATTCCTGCTTTATTCTTTAACTCTGGTCTCTCTGTCCTATGGCAGCCTTCACAAGGCACCACATTCCCCCAGACTCCGCATCTCCCCAGGGGAGCAATCGGGGAATCCTCAGGCTGGACTGGCAATCCTCCTGCTTCCTACAGGGCACAATGAGGTGTTGTAGTGACACTGAGAGTCACAGTCTCACTCTGCTGTGAGAGCCGAGCCTGGCAGGGGCTGGGGCTGCTGGGGCTGCCCCAGATGGGTTTGGGTGCCCCAGATGGCCCAGCCAGGCTCAGTGGTGCCCAGCACACACACCGTACCCACCCCTGTCATCCACGATGAGCTTGTCCATGCCGCGCGGGCCCAGCGTGGTGCGCACGGCCTCGGCGATCACCTGGCAGGCGTTGATGTTGCTGACCAGCTGCGGGATGCCCTGCGAGGTGTCCGTGCCCTCCTTCAGCAGGATAACCGGTGTTGGCTGCAGGGGAGCACAGCACGGCTGTTAGCCTGAGCCCAGGGACCCACAGAGAACTCCTGACAGCCCACAAGACAGGAGAGTGCAGGAACAAGGGCAAAAATACAGACTCGGTGTAATTCCTCTGCCCCACACCACCCTGCTGCTTTCCACTGCTCCCACAGCACTGGGAATTCACACAACTGCTCACAACAGGCTCAGGGACACACAGGGACTGTCCCAAAACCAACGGGGATTCTTTGGGGCAGAACCACTGAGGTTGTGGCCTGGACGAGACAGAGCGTGCAGGAACTACAGAGACACTGAGGAACCAAATAAGTCTGGGTGGCGGAAGCACCAGAGCAGCTGTGGCTGCCCCAGCATCCTTGGCAGTGCCCAAGGCCAGCCTGGACAGTGGGAGGTGTCCTTGCCATGGCAGGAGTGGCACTGGATGGGATTTAAGGTCCCTTCCAACCCAAACGATCCCATGAGTGCTGCACCCATCTCATAGGCAGAGCTCAGGCAAAGCCCAAATGCTGCCCAAATTTGGGATGCACTGGCACAGAACAGCTGCCGGGAGGCACAGAGCAGAACTGAACTGTGCTTGGTGCAGTGAGGGGCATAGGCACAAGAAAAGGAGCTACTGCACAGGTTCAGTGATGGGCACAAAGAACATCCTTGGGATCTGCAGCATCCCTCCTAGGAGGAGCTGGGCCTGCTCAGGCTGCAGAAGGGAAGGCTGAGAGGGATCCCATCAATCCATACACATCTCTCCGAGGCAGTGCCAAGAGGTTGGTGCCAGACTCTTTTTGGTGATGCCCAGTAACAGGACATCAATTAAAACACAGGAAGTTCCACCTCAACACGAGGAAGAACTTCTTGCCATGGAGGGTGACAGAGCCCTGGGACAGCTGCACAGGGAGGGCCTGGAGTGTCCCCCCCAGAGACATCCCAAACCCACCTGGAGACACTCCTGTGCCACCTGCTCCAGGTGACCCTGCCCGGGCAGGGGGTAGAGCCGAATAATCTCCAGCCCTGACTATTCTGTCACCCCTGAAACTCGGAAAGATTCTGTGGAATAAACCGCACAGCTTTCCTCCACACCCAGCAGAGCAGGAACCCCAAGGGAAAAGGACCCGTTTGTCCCCGGGGAAACCAGGCTGGACACACCTCCCGCATCACCGCGGGGCTGGAGCCGGAGGGGGCTGCGGGGACCAGGACCGGGCCGTGGGGAGGCTCCGGAGCGGGAAGGAGCTCGGGGCTGCCCGCTGCCCGCTCCCGTCCATGCAGCCAGCGCAGTCTGGCTCCAGCTCCGGCTCCGGCGGGCGCGGCACTGCCCGGGTACCGCCAGGCCTGCGCGCCGGGGCGGCTCCATCCGCGCGGCCCGGCCCGCTGCGACCCCGCCACAGGCGCTCCCTGGGGCCCGGCGGGAGAGCCCCGGGCCGGGCAGGGCGGCGGGACGCGGGGACAGCGGCGGATGGCGGCGGATGGCGCGGATCACTCACCATCATCTCGGCGGCTGCTCGCTCCCGGCCCCCCACAATGCACCGCGCACGCCCAGAACCTTCCCGGGGGCGGGCCGGGGGAGGGATCACAATGTGGCAGGGAGGGAAGAGGGCGCGCAGCGTGCGGAAATGTGATGGGTCACAATTTGGCAGCGAGCGCCGCGGTGACAGCGAGCTGCCCGCGCCGGCTCGCGCGTGATTGATGGCGGCGCAGACCAATAGGAAGGAGTGCGGTAAGCTCCTCCGCCAATGGGGAGCGCGGGGCGGGCCGGTGGGTGGGGCGTGGCGCAGCCATGCTGCTCTGGCTCTGGCTGTGGCTCTGCGTCTGCTGCTGGCCGGCCCGCGGTGAGTGAGGGACGGAGGGAGGCGCGGAGCGGGGACAGCGCCCGGGCCGGGCTGCCACCACCCGGACCCCGTACCCGGACCGCGCACACACCCCGGGCACCTCGGCCCGGCCGCCTCCCCGATCGGCGCACCGCCATCCCGGTGTATTTCCCTTCCCGGCAGCCCGGCCCCGCTGCGGTTCATCTCCCGTGTCTGTATCCCGGTGTATTTCCCCTCCCGTGTCTGTGTCCCGGTGTATTTCCCCTCCTGTGCCTGTATCCCGCTGTATATTCCCCTCCCGTTTCTGTATCCCGGTCTATTTCCCCTCCCGGCAGCTCGGTCCCATTGCGGTTCCTCTGCTGTACCCGTTTCGGAGTACGGGGACATTTCCCCTTGCTATGCCCCCACACCATCGCATTTCTCCTCCCACATCCCAATCTGGGTGCATTTCACCTCCTGCATCCCAATCCAGATGCATTTCACCTCCTGCATCGCAATGTGGGTGCATTTCCCCCCCTGCATCCCCTGCATCCTGCTGCAATTCCCTCGGTGCAGCTCGACCTGGTTGCATTTCCCCTCCTGCACCCCAATCCGGATGCATTTCCCCACCCAGCACCCCAATCCAGCAGCATTTCCTCTTGCTGGGGTCCGAGCCCCTTGCATTTCCCCTCTGATCCAGGTACATTTTCCATCACTGCGCCCCAGCTCCATTGCATTTCCTGCTGCATCCTCATCCAAGTGCATTTTCCCTCCCATTTGTGATCCTGGTGGGTTTCCCCTGTGTCCCCCTCAGTCTGGGTGCCTATCACCCCTCTCCCCTCCATGCTCCAGCTGCATTTCCCCCTTGAGCACCCCAGTCCCTGTGCTTTTCTCACCCCCATCCCCTCTCACCCCCTGGGAACTGCCACATCTGCCCTTGGAACACCCCAAAACCTTTGGGGCATTTTGGGTCCTGAGCCCAGCCAGGATTTGGCATTGCTGGAGGGCCTGTTCTCTCCCCCATGGTTCAGGAGTGACAACTGACAAAAGTCAGAGACTTTTCCCCTTTTTTCAGGGACTTTGCCTTTAGTTTCCCTTGCCTCAGCTCTGTCCTTTCTCCCCCAGGATTACGCATCCATGAGTATTTGTACTTCCAAGTGCTGAGCCCCGGGGACATCCGCTACATCTTCACTGCCACCCCAGCCAAGGATTTCGGTGGCGTGTTTGTAAGTATTAAAAACTGAATTTTCCCCTTTGGCTACCTCCATCCCAATACTGCTCCTGGGTGGGACTCAGTGATTTGGGGTTTTGATTAAAATGGAGCTCATTGCTCTTCTACAAGCATCCCTCAGCAACGTTCCAGAAGCAGGGATTGGCCCCAGGGCTGGCTCTGAGTGTCTCTGAATGTGGGAGCCCAGAATCCCTCCAGAGCAGCCCCCAGAGGGATGAGCAGGGTGTGGGACAGCCCAGGTGGGCAGGGTGGGGAGGGGGAGCAGCTCCATGCCCCGGCTCACCCCTCCTGTCTCCTCGGAGAACACAAGGTACGACCAGATCCACCTGGTGCCTGCGGATCCTCCGGAGGCCTGTGGAGAGCTCAACAATGGCGTCTTCATCCAGGACCAGATCGCCTTGGTGGAGAGGGGGTAGGTCTGGCATCAGGGCACCGGCTGGGGAACCCTGCTGGGCAGGAGGGGAGCCCTGGCCACATCCCCCTGTCACCTCCAAATTCATCCTGTGGCTTCCCCCACTTAGAGAAACCAGGAAAATGCGAGGGTGTTCCTGCCCTGGAGAATTGCATCTTGTGGTTTTTAGCCTGTGACAAGGTAGAAAAAATGCTGTCTGGGTTCAGATTGAAAAAGAGTAGGTTTAGATTAGACAGTGGCAAAGAACTCTTCTCTGTGACAGGTTGCCCAAAAACATTCTGGATGCCTCATATCCCTGGAGGTGTCCAAGGCCAGGTTGGACACTGGGGATTGGAGTAGCCTGGGACAGTGGAAGGTGTCCCTACCATGGCAGGGAGTTGAACTGGATGAGCTTTAAGGTCTCTTCCAACCCAAACCATTCCAAGATTTTATTTCATGGGTTTTTTTTAGGAATGTGGGTGGCTTGTGCTTAAAATACAGACTCAAAGGAGCAGGGTTTTGTCGCAGACATCTTTTTGTGAAAATCCTTTCTTAGGATTTTTCCTGCTGAAGCTGAGAAGAATCAGCAACAAAATGTAAACAATGATTATCTGCTGCTGTGGAATGCAAGAGGTCCATCTGTGATTGGCCCATCTTGGATGTTTATAATTAATGGCCAATCAAGGACCAAGCTATCTCGGACAGAGTCCAAGAGAGCTGCCTTTTGTTATCATTCTTTTCTTTTCTATTCTTAGCTAGCTTCTGAGAGGAAACCTTTCCTTCTATTTCTTTTTAGTATAGTTATAATGTAATATATATCATAAAATAATAAATCAAGCCTTCTGAACATGGAGTCAACATTCTCATCTCTTGCCTCATCCAAGAACCCCTGTGAACACTGTCACGGTTTGGAGGAGGTGTGGAATCAGGGAGACAATCCCTAGTCTGAGTGTCTCCAGGCAGCTCTGGCAGGTGCAGGCTCTGGAGCCACCCGTGGCCACCCCAGGTTGGTGACACCGCGGTCCCTCTGTGCCACAGGGGTTGCTCGTTCCTGTCCAAGACACGAGTGATCCAGGAGCACGGCGGGCGGGCCGTCATCATCGCTGACAACGCCTACGACAATGACAGCTTCTACATCGAGATGATCCAGGACAGCTCCCGGCGCACGGCCGACATCCCCGCGCTCTTCCTGCTGGGCAGGGACGGGTATGTGACAGGGTGGGACAGCTCTCCCTGCTGGGCAAGGATAGGTACACGCTGAGCTGCCTTCCCGGGTGGGACAGCTCACAAACAGCCGAGTGACAGCCTTGCCCCACACAGCAAGGAGCTTCAGTTCTGTTAATTTAGGGTGCTCAAGGGGAAGGGGAAAATAGTGCTGGAGCATGGAGGGGAGAGGGGTGATAGGCATGCAGACCAAGGGGAACACAGGGGAAACCCACCAGGATCACAAATGGGAGGGAAAATGCACTTGGATTAGGATGCAGCAGGAAATGCAATGGAGCTGGGGCGCAGTGATGGGAAATGTACCTGGATCAGAAGGGAAATGCAAGGGGCTTAGACCCCAGCGAGAGGAAATGCTGAAATTTAATGATTGAGTTGGGTTCAGTCCTGGTTCCTGGGCAGGGTTGGAGCTGGGCTGTGGTTTGTGCTGGGGTCTGGCTGCACTCTCCCAGCCCTGGCAGCTTGGGAACAGCTGTCACCCCTCCATCCCCCAGGTACATGATCAGGCGCTCCCTGGAGCAGCACGGGCTCCCCTGGGCCGTCATCTCCATTCCTGTCAACGTCACCAGCATTCCCACCTATGAGATGATGCAGCCCCCCTGGACCTTCTGGTAGCAGCAGAAGGCTGTGATGGATCAAGGACTTCCTGGTGCATCCCAGGGTTTTGCCCTAAGGACCAGGTTTGAGGGAAGGATGCCAACATGCTCCAGAGATCCTGCTGGACTCGGCCACAGGGAGATCTTTCTGCTGGCACCGGTGTGTGGCAAGGGCAAACACCAATGCCAGGGGGAACCTTGAGCCTGGCACTGAGCTGGGACTGTGTGGGAGGGAGGGGAGGGCCCAGAGCACTTCCCTGGAAATATTTGACCTTGTGCTGCTGATCTGGAGGGATGCAGGACTGGCAGGGATGGGGGGAGAGCGATACAGGCTTGGTCTGTACCAGCAGGGCTCACCTGATGTCTGTATATTTTTGTCTGAGCTAATGAAGTCTGAGTAAGTTTTAGAGAAAGGGAAGTTTCTGTTTTATTTCCAGCAGTCAGCAGATAAAGGGATAAATCTCATCCTCAAATTTTTTCCTAGTAAAATTCTCACAAGTACCTCCTGTAGCTGGGGCAGGGCTCAGTCAGAGCCTCATGGGACAGCACAGCTTCCAGCAGGGGTGGGCTGGTCACAAATCCAGAGCCCACACTTGTACAGGTGTCTGTTCCTTCAGCCCCATGTCCCCACAGCACCAGCCCCTGGCTCACAGCCCTCTCTGCACCCAGCAATACAAAGCACAGGTCCCAGCTGTCACCAGTCTCGGTTTATTAGGAACACTGAAGGGGATGTGGCCCAGGACGGATGGGGACAAGCAGCAGGAGGCAGGGCTGGCGGTGATGGCAGTGCCACAGGTGTGCCACCCTCGGTCCCACAGTCCAGCTGCCACGGACATGGCAGCAGGAACACAGCTCCCCAAAATCCATGGAGGGAGGAAAGAACCCCAGGTGCATCCCTGACCTGCTGCCTGTCTGTCACTTGGAGCCACTGTCCCACATGATCTGCACACAGGGACAACACTGTGTGGCCTTGAGGCTGGCACATGGGAGGGATGACAAGGGGACATCCAGGAGGGCCACTCTGCACTGGCACATCTCCATGTGGGAGCATTGGGTGCAGGGAAGCACCCAGCACAAGCTGCATCCCCGGGCACATCCTCATCCCACGGCCAAAATGTCTTCTGGGTTTGGGATGACACCCAGCCCATGTCAGCTCCCGGCCATTCTCCATCCCCACACGCTCCTGCAGTCCCTGCCCGGGGCTCTGTGTCACGGGAAGGATGGGCCGAGCTGGGAAGGAGGTGTCTGCAGGGTCAGCTCTGCTCCCCCTGCTGGACTCGAGCTCCAGGCCACCCTCCGAGGCATCCCCTGTGAGATCCTGCTGCCCCTCACTGCTGGCCAAGGCATGGGATGGAGGA